AAGCGCCACATTGGGACCCAGGGAATAGAATGGAATGAACAGGGTGAGAGGCTATGTGAGCTTATTATGGCTACCCACACCATCCATGGTAACTCACAATTCCAAAAGCCTCACTCTCAGCGGCGAACGTTGGAGTCCCAGTGGAGAGGACCACTACAAAATAGACCACATCTTAGTAAATCGAAGGTTTTACCTGACCGATGTCGCTGTTGCTCCTTAGTTCTGCACGGGATCAGACCATCGCTTCCTTCGCGCAACATTCCGTTTTTCGAAAAGAAGAGAAAGCCGCTAAGTTCAAACAACGAAGCCTTAGAACTACCATAAACTGGGATGTATTCGAATCATTAGTCGGTTCTTAGGAAGATACCGTTGTCGACAACATCAACGAAGAATACGATCGGCTCGTTGAATATTGTCAAGTTAGCGCTGTGAAAGCCGAGAGTCCCAAAGTCACAAAGAGACGCTTGTCGCCGCAGACACTCGAGCTGATACGTCAACGTGGAATCGCACGAGCTACAGGGAACCAAAACCTTACGTGCGATCTTGCGAAGCGCTGCAGAGAAGCGATAAGGCAAGACCTCAAAGAGAGACGAGTAGCAGTTATAGCTGAAGTTGCAGAAGCTGGGAAGGGCATTAACAAAATCCAGAGAGGCTTTGCCAATTAGAAGACCAAGATGATTGCACTCCGATGCTCTGACGGCACACCTACAGCTTCCAGAACGGCTATGGAGAAAATCGTCTCTAAGCACTACTCAGATCTCTTTGCTAGTCATGTTCTCTTACCGTCATATAAAGTGAAAGAGGATGAATAAGTCGTTATACTGGTAATCCCTTCCGAAATCCGACATGCTATATCGTCGGTGAAGAACAGAACAACACCCGTCCAGACAGGGTTAGACCAGGACACCTGAAAAGGCTGCCGCCAGTTCTCATCAACATCCTAGCTCGGTTCTTCACTCTCTACCTGTCAGAATGCAAGGTCCCATTCAATGGAAAACCAGCAAGACCGTATTGTTGTTCAAAAAGGAAGACCTTCACGACATAGGCAATTATCGCCCAGTCTGCTTGCTGTCATTGTCTATAAACTCTTTACTTGAGTCATCCTAAACAGGATTCACAGAACACTGGACGAAGGACAGCCATGCAAACAAGCAGGGCTCCGGAAGGGATTAAATACCGTAGACCACATCCACATGGTTACAAGACTCATAGAGGTTTCACGAGAGTACAAACAACCACTCTGTCTCATTTTATCGTTCTAAAAAAGGCCTTCGATTCACTGGAAACAGAAGCAGTTGTGGAGGCTCTGGATAACCGGGGCGTCCCTACTTGGTACATAATGATCCTTCGTGAGCTATATAAAGATTTTACGACCAAAATATCTCCATTCTACAACAATATCACCATTGACGTAAGAAGAGGGGTTCGCCAAGACGATACAATTTCGCCAAAACTATTCACTGCCACCCTACAAAACATCATGGGAACATTAGAATGAGACGATATGGAAGTGAAGATTGACGGTCGACAATTAAACCATCTTCGCTTTGCTGACGATATCGTTCTCATAACACCAAACATCAGTCAAGCGGAACGAATGTTGACCGATTTCGATAACGCCTGTGGAAAAGATTGGTCCCAACTATATCTAACGAAAACGATGTTCATGAGGAACGGATGGGTTTTGAATGCTTCATTCACGCTCAACGAAAAGACAATCTCCGAATGCTCCAGTTACGTCTATCTAGGTCGTGAAATCAACATGATGAACGACCTAGCTCCAGAGTTGAGCAGGAGGAAACGAGCGGCTTAGGAACGTTTAAGAGCATCGAAGATGTAGTAAAAGGACAAAGAACATCCGACTTCCGTGCCCACCTTTTTGACTAGACGATTATCTCTGCCCTAACGTATGCAGCAGAAACCTGGTCGCTACGTAAGCAGAATGAAAGATCACTTGGCGTTATTGAACTCGCAGTCGAAAGGTCGATGCTAGGAGTATCCCGTATCTTGCAAATGAGAGAAAGGATCTGAAGTTCCGACCTACGTCAACGATCGAAGATCAGAGACGCCGTTCTACACGCCAAGATATCGAAAATAAGGTGGGCCGGACACGTGATGCGCCTTCAACGACAACCGATGGACGAGAGTCGTTACCGACTGGATTACTCGGGACATCAAGCGATCTACAGGAAGACCACCGACCCGTTGGCCCGATTTCTTTACAAGGCATAGAAGAAAAATATGATGCTCAGTGAATCCCTAGAGCGAGGAGAACCCACTGGGCTACTCTTGCACGCGATAGGGAATATGGAAGTGTTGCTGGTACCCGCTCGAGTCACTCGATGATCAACGGGACGACAGGTGATACAGGTGAAACTCACACAATCGTAAAATGAACTTTGTTCATTTTTCTTGGGTATTTTGAAAGGATCAGTTACTCTTAACACTTTCCTATTTTTAAGAATCTCTATGAGAAAAGCTTTGCTCGTGGTTTTTTCCGTCGAAGTTGACATATTTATATTAGCTTCATAAGAACGTCCGAATGGTTTTATGATGCCCACAATTTCAACTCAGCGGTTATCCCTGCCTCAACGTATGCAGCTGAAATCTAGTGGCTATGTAAGCAGGATTAAAAATCACTTAACGTTACTGCGTAATCGAGAGGTCGATTCTGGGAGTATCCCAAATCTCGCAAGTAAGAGAAAGGATCGAAGTTCAGATCAAGTCAATGATTGAAGATTAGAGATTTTGTCCTACACGCTGGGCTATCGAGTATAAGGTGGGCCGGACAGTAATGCACTCTAACAACAACTGCTGGACGAGAGGCGTTACCTACTGGATTCCTCGGAATGTCAAGCGCTTCACAAGAAAGTCACCGACCCGATGGTACTATTTATTTACGACAAGCCTAGAGTAAAGCCACGACTCTCAACGAATTCGCAGAGCCAGGAGAACCCACTAGGCACTTTTGCACTCATGCGGAAAAATCGAGGCATTGCTCATGCCTGCTTGGGACGCTCGACGATCAATAGAGCAGCAGGCGATACGGGTAGTACTGTTTATGTCCTACAAGCGAACGGAGTTCTACTCCACTTCAAAGAAAGACTTTACTAGTCGATTTTAACCAAAGTGTGTGAAACTCATCTTTCAAAATCCCAAATCCTGATTTACAATAGATAAGGGGCGCAAGTAAATTATCACACTGCATTTCTTTCGCCATGCCATGCTAATAGGTGTTAAATAGTAGATTAACAACATGAATGGTTTACCTTCTCAAGCTGTTTGTTCATAAGACAAGTCGATTAACGTGAAAGCTGATTGAAAATAGACCAATATTCCAGAAGGATGATTTTCATCACATGATAGCAAGCTTTATGGCTCCTCTTGCAGAGGTATTTCGCTAATGATAAAGCATACCGCTTTGGTAGTGACGACCAAAGTGCCGTCGTTATTCAAAGGCTTGCGCTTCCGTGGCCGAAGCTGTCAGTGATACTTTTGTAATAACAGTGTATACACAAAAGTTTTTGCACATAACATCATTGCGAACGAACCTTACGCTTCTTCTTATTCCATTTAATCGGACGTGTTGGCATTACCGCCTTTGACAAATTGTTCTGCTGGGCTAGATGAGCTTTTCATTCCGGAATCGATAAAGATGTGATCCTCCGTCAGTAGATTGCGAATCAGGCACTGAAGATTTCACTCAAAAATACTTTCTAAGCAGAGCCTCAATAATTCACAAAACGGAGATCACCGGATCACTACTCGAGAGACGACGTGTTGATTCGTTGATGTTACTGGCTTTGTCACCGACGTTCTCCTTGGCACTGCCTACAAACAAAACGATAGAGCGGAGCGAAATGCATAGACTACCTAAATAAGGCTCATTCCCAGTGGAAAAGGCTCGTTTATAGCATGATGTTCAATGCGCAGTATACGAGATAGTCGAAATATTATTGGCCTTGAAAGGGTAGACAGGTGTGCTCAGTATTTCTTACGAGGAGATGTAAAATTTGCATAGTAATATCTGATTTCAGAGGTACAAAATAAAGCATAACTCACTATTTGACTGTGTATTTATTTGCAGTAGTGTGTACGGACGAAGAAACGTGCGAGGCGCAGCGGTTAAAGGTGCGCTGCGTCGCATCACGAGTCAATGGTTCGATCTCGTGCTCAAGGCTCACTAGGCCATCCATCCCTTAGCGTCGATAAATTGGTACTAGACTGTCCTCAGACTTGCCTAGGAGGATAAGCAGCACTGACTGTACAGTGGGAGCCACCGTCGAGTCATTGTAAAGGCCGGATATGCATTGAATCACCTTAAGCGAAGTTGAAAATTGAAGACGAGTGCGGGGCGCATCCTTCAAGGATTGATCAACGCCGAGAGCTTTATCCTTTATCCTTTATAGGAGGAAATGAATCATAAATATGAGTGAATTTGGATAGCATGAATAAGAAGGCATAAAATTGGAAATTAAAGCTCGAATGTCTTTTTCGTAAGCATATGGTTTTTCGATTAAAAATTTCTAGAAAAAGACGTAATTAAGTGCCGCTGTTGTTCTAAGTAGTGGTGATAAATAATGATCATGGCAGAGTTTAAGTAGATAATATAAAAAGTTAGTGCACATAAGACAGAAAGAACAAAGTCTCGTTCACAGCTTCATAACAGTTCCAAATTTCACAGTCCAATAATAGTGAAGAGGCCCTCCGAATAAACTGGCATCGTATCACAACGCACATTCTATTTTTGACCCGCAATTCCTTGATTTACTATTGTCTTGAACTCCTTCAAGAGAAATTTGCGAATGACAAAGCCTTCTTTGATGGTGATAAAAACCTAAATCTCATTAAATACTATCTTGATGTCATTGGAGCACGCCGCTCTCGCCGCGTGGTTCTGCCACCAGCCACGCAAAAATTCAACAAGGTTCTCGAATGGAAGAGAATTTTTGGTGGTGTGAATCAAATATGAGTCGAATCAGATTACACAACTCTATTCAGCGTCGGTGGCGCAATGGTTAGCATAAGCTCCCGAAAAGAGTGAGTTCTGGGTTCGAATCACGGCTGGTGCAAATGTTTTTGCGCAGCACTCCACAGTATTGGGTATATTGTAACATCATACCACCGCAAGTGGCGGTCAGATAAAAAAATTCTATTCAGACTCATTCGAAACCAATGAGTTATCCCAGCTCTGCAACGTTTCTAAAGCTACAACATGTTACCGGTATTTGAAACAGCAACTTTTCGCATGATAGCGAAATTTTTTGGTATTTGAGGTAATGTGAAGTTGATTCTCATCTAGAAAGTTCATTAAACTTCTTGCCATTTCAATGGCGATGCACTAAGTCTAAACTAGTCAAGATCACGTCACACTGCTCCACAGCAGTAGCTATCAGTCAAGTTAGTCGTTTTTGTTTGCACTTAGTAATCACAAGGGCGAGCGATTGGAAAAGTAAAATCGGTAGTTTTATTCTGATAAGCTGTTCCGAGGTGGTAGCAATAGTGTTTACTGAGCAGTGGCGATGCAATCCAGTACACAGTACTGTAGCGAGTACAACAGTACAGTAACACAATTTATCATAATACAGTGGCCAACGTTACGGCGTCTCACCTTTTTCAGAATGTGGAAAGATCAAATCAGCTTGCAGTCTACCATTCAGAAACCGGTAGATTCGAGTGTTTTTCCCAAGAGCACGCCAAAATTTCAATATATCTGATAATTATTTTTTGGGCATGGTCTTAAGAAAACACTCGAAACGAACAGTTTAATATTCATAAATACTACCCAAGAACAATCGATTGCGTCACTACACTGCCCGATTTATTTCGCACAACTGCACATAGTAAATCGTACGTCGTCGCCTACTCTATGTAGGGGAATGGAGCACCCTCTGAGTGGGTTGGCTAAAGGCGAAGAGCTAGCCCGACTGACAAGGCTGCCAAGGCCGAAACACGTGCATCGGGCTCTTCAAGTGCCCATAACAGACCCATGACATGTTGGCGCGAATAATAATTGTCAGATATATCAATCAAAGGGCTCCATAATCTCTACAGAAAATGTAAGAAACAAATATTTTGGATCGCAAAGTGAAAAGCTTCTATCTCAGAACTCTCACCGTAAGATGCTTCAGATCTTCCAATATTAAATGAGGACCAGCCTCTTAGAGTCAGTGCGCAAGTGAGACTGTGCCTGCACAGGTCGGGAAGATCAGCCTGAAGCATGGTGCAAGGTCACGCGTTACTACGAGACACTCCTCTTTGTGATCCATTTTTGGGCCATTACTATGTATCCAAAAGGCTATCCAAAGTTTTACGCGCATGTTTTTGACTCCTGTGCGAGAACTGTGAATTTGACATCGAACTTCGCTGTTTTTGTTTCCTGTGAGTGCCTAGTGGAGCTTTGTCCTCAAAGTTCCGTAATCGAGCTAGATGCTCTTGTAACAAATGTAGAGTGGTCTATCCGTTTCGCCAACGTATTCATCCCCGCATGCCTCGCAATAGATTATGTAAAATGTACCAGATCTCATGCAGTCGTCTTCTCTACCGTTTGGCAACTTGGCAGTCTTTCGTTCCGCAGAGGCGGTCTCACAGTTGATTGCGGACTAATTGGCGCTTTAGAATATTCGAGGGTATCTCAATTATTGCTACCAAATTATCCAAACCTGCTCTATTTAGACAGCGTTCAATAGCTGCACTTACTTTGTTATAATTAAAGTACAGGATGAAGGGAACCTTGTTGTCGTCAGACTTTCCCTTTAGGGCTTCGCATTTATTTTAAATCCAACTTGAGGAGCACCACCGTATCGTAGCCAGTACAGATGGCTATTTTTCGCTCCAAGCTGAGGAATTCGGCTCCATGTTTTTCCTGTGCACACATCAACAGCTCTTCGAAACTTTTTTCACGAGTGCGCATTTGTGTGTGGAGGATGCGAAGACAGGTGTTGAACCAAAATCCTTTTGTTGCCTGGTTTGCAGTAGCCATTGTGTTGCAAAAGTTTTCGTATAGGCTGACACGAGACGTTTAAAAATGGAAGCCAATTTGCATTCGGTTTCTCATGTGGTGAATTTCATGTGCTCCGACTGACTATTCAGCAAATCAAGAGCATGTGTCCATCTTCCTCTTGCTTCTGAGCAGACGACAAAACAGTCATCTTTATAGCCACAGTAGAGTTACGGCAGGAGATCGATTATTGGGGCCTCCACTTCAGACATAAAGGCTGTAGCAAGGTTGGAGATAGTCGCTGTATAATTGCTAGCCTTCTGATTTGCGCAAGATCATTACCGGACCATCTGGAAAAGCAGCCTAGGCACTTCTTTAGGAAAGCCATGATCTCCCGAGCGGAGAAGCCATATCTTTTGTGGTTTCTTTGTGCTTCATTAGAAGAGAAATGCAAAAATCACTATTTATCCACATTTCGTGAGCATTTTGTGGAATGGCAATGCTCTAAAAACATTCTTGAAACCTATTACTGAGCGGATACCATAGAAAACAACATGTAGACAACATCCTAAAGATTACTGAGCCGACACAAAGTTGCTATAGAAATAGGTATTTGACCGTCGATGTTTCATTGGCTGGCACATGATGTTGTGATGTCTTTTCAACAGTATTAACTATTTTGTCGAGATTGAAAGTCAGTGTTTAAATAATTGGTATACTTTTTTGCTTCTGCAATGGATGTATGTTGCTCTGTCTTCTCTAAGTAGTAATTTTGCCTTTTTCGGATATATGTAAATTGTTATCACGAGCTCTATCAATAAGTGACTTTTGTCGTCTATGCAGTCACGTAAGACACTTTATCCTTTGACTTCCATAGCGTTGGATGAATATAAGAATTTGCAACCTTTCAGCGGAGGATAGGCAATATTATGATATGATACTACTCAAGCTCGGCTATCTCTGATCCTTTTGATGAATTTTAGTATGGTGATTCGAAGCTGTACAGTGAACGTAGTTTGTGTGGTATAGATGCTTTAACAATCTGTCGACCCCAGTGCGGTAAAAAATATCCCGGTGCGTCTTCATCAGCGCATCGTTGAAAGTGAAGCGCAGCTACCGTTAGCTAACTTTATATCTATCGTCACTACACAATTGATCAACACCAAACGCTATGAGTTTGCTTAAAAGTTTGACGTAACTCAATGCATGGAATCTATGGAAACAAGCGCGGATCCTTTTGAGAGCCATTTTGAACTTACTCTTAATTCCACAATATGATGCACACATAACCATTCATCAGAGTGATCACTCTCAGATGAAAAACGATCTTTACATTTACCCATTGTTATTGCAGTTTCTAATACCATTCCAAATGTTACACACAAGACAGCTGAACTCATGTGAATCGTAGTAAAGGCTGCCATAAGCAGTTTCAATATTGCACTAACTTATACGAGTGCTTTTCAGTGATTTATTATGTTTTCGTGTTAGGAAAAAATCTACTTAACGTTTCAATTCAATTATTGCTAAGAAGTTGGTGAGGATGTCATTAGAATGGCAAAATTACCTAGTCATGTGATCAGAAGTCGTTTTAGATAAGAAAAGTGTATATAAGGAATAGCAAATTGATGAAAAACCAATTCAATCAGTATGCTTTCCTTTTTCAATTCTCCCTTTATCATCTTCCTCGTCAGTTCTGCTCTAATCCAACAGGTATGCGTGGATAAGCAAATTGCATAGTTTCTGCTTTTTCACAATCAAAAAAACTGTCATGATGGATTACTCAGCTGAACTCACGGTTCCTATAACGAAATGGAAGCAATGGATTGCGTGTGGAAGAGCTTCACATTTTTCCTATAAGTATTATTCAGTGCTTTACTCTGAAAGGCTATCGAGGTAGCTCAAGAAATTTATGTTGGAAATACAACTGTTGCACATCACTACTCATCGTGTTCCATTTACATTTCATCATAGTTCTGTGATTAGATGGATATGAAAAAATATGATTTTTTTTATACCACATCCAGTTGCATGAAAAAGATCAGCAGAATCGCTTCGATCCTTGGAGAAATATGTAGACCCTGGAGGTCAGAGAGATCTTACTTCTGTCGACGGCAAGACGTTTGGAAAGCATCTATATTGCTTCGAGACTCTCTGTCAATGTAATGATCTGCTCAATCCGCTTGGAAATGTACTATAATCAATCTGCCATCTTTATCTGTGGATTCACACATTTATGAGAGCTGAGAAAAGCATACATGTGTTCTTAAATGCTTCCCTTTATGTTCACTTTCCATAATTGCTCTAACGTTCAGACCTTTGGAACGTCTAAAAGTGAATGCGATGAGTGCAACGAATTTTTCACTGAGTGGATAGATTGTTCAATAGCACAGATGGGAAATGGCATGTTGAAAAGATAGTTGTCAGGTAGGTTTTTTTTACAGAAATTCTGAGTTTCATAGTCATCGAATGCACTCAGTTAAACTGAATATTTGGAGAACTTCCTCATCTGAATCTAATACTTTAGGTGGAATGTATATACGCGACAGCTTTGTACGTGGAACCACTCTGTGAAAGGGCTGTGGATTATCTTTCGGAGAAAGATCGAGGGATGGTGCAGACGTAGTGAATTTCAATCCCTTAATGCTCGCGAACGCTGTTAGCTACTCGGAATGTGCCCAAGTGCTGCAGTAATCTTTCCATGACCAAATTCTTTTTCACCATGTCAATGAAACGTTGTTGAAATACTCACTCTCACATTTTTGCAAGTGTGCTGATCTTTCAGAACTGATACAGTACTAAACGACAATGTCACTTCTTCTGTTAAAATCTGCATCATGGAAGCAAACACCATTCAGAGCCAAGACTGAAGAGGAATCTCTTCAGCAGAATGGGCAAGATGGAGTGGCAGCAATGCAGTCTTCAAGAATAGAGTGGATGAAGATCCTATTGACTTCAATGCATTTACTTTACTGAGGCTTCTTTTACAGCATTTCTGTATTGATTTGACAGATTATCAAGTGCAGATCACTGTGGCACTAATAGGAATTGAAAAGATACCCCATGTATAAGGCGATTTACATAGAACGAAACAATTTCCTTTATCGTGCACTGCTCTCCATGGTAAATACG